AAGTAAAGGAAAGTTTCCATGTGTCCACATTCGTATTCATCCACATGCTCACAGCCATCTTCAGATTTTGTTATTGCAGTTTTTAACAACTATATTCATTCAGGATTGATTGTGTTGACCTACTTGTGCTACCAAGGACAATGAATATTTATAACACAGAGAAATTTCAATTAAATGGATCGTTAACAATGGGCATCTTTTTGCTTTCATTTTTAAAAAAAATCTTATTAAATTTTATTTGTTATAATTGCTTTTGACACAGGATACGTGAACAATTGGTCACATGCATTTCTTCAGATTAGATTTTGTTTAGCTGGCTAAACATTTAAGAAACTGCTACAAAATATGGGTACTCCTTTTTAATAAAAACTACAACACATTTACATTAGCTTAGCTAGAAAAGTGGCTGTCTACCCAAAGTGTAAAAGACCCTATCATCTAACTTTTACAAGAGGACAAACGTGTCTTTTGAAATACTGAACCAGTGCCCTTCACAACATACTGAATACTAATCATCCCTGTTCATTCGTTTCACAAAGAGAGTATGACATTTAGGGTCATCTAAAGAAGAAAGAAAGGTAGATATGAAATGTAAAAGTAAGAGTAGAGGTTAAATGTGACATGAAGAAGAGGTCAGTCCGAAGTAATGTGATATTAGGAATCCACATATATAATTCCCTATAATACAAACAATGACAGCAAAAACGGTTTTAAACAGATCTGTATAGTATCATTAACACTTTTAACACTAATAACCTTCAAATCAGTCTATTGACCTTCAAGCAGAGGTCAGGGGTCAAATGTAACATGATATTTTAAATTTTTAAACTTTACATTGATTTACAATACGCACCACATGTGTAAGAATCGTAGCTTTTAAGTTAGAGTAACAACGATTTTTGTCAGTTTTCAACCAATAAATCAATAAGTTGATCTTGAAGACCTCGTGGAAAACACCAAAACAGAAAATGGCTCGATGGTTTTCTGGCACATTTTTTCAATGTTGTTAAAAAGAGTGCTGCCATGTAGAAAGCCGCATATTTCAGCAATTCAGCATTGTTTTTGGTCTTTGCAGATCAACACATTGTTTATATGAGCAGAGCCGTTTTTTTGTGGATTGTATTAGACACTAATTCATGTCATCTTGAAATGCCGAATCATAACAAAAGGGTTGATTATTGCTCAATGATTTACCACAAATGGTATTTAAACCATTGCTTGGGGACAGAAAAACTTTGAAAAGAAATAAGAAAGCCTGTGCCGATCAATATCATCGTCAATAATGTTCCACTCAAACATTTCCTTTAGAGAGGTAATATGCATCTGTTTCATACACCACGAAACAACTGCATAAATAGCCAAGTATTGTATTCCCTCTGGGCAAGATACTTGGGCCAAGTTGCCTCTGATAAAATAAGGACTTGTCCATACATGGCAGAATTAAAATGTATGTGTCACCATATGCGTTGGCTAAGCGATACAATTAAACTGCTGCTGAATGTAGCAGTTGTGCCAAAGATAATCAAGGTTTTACAGTTTAATTAGCAAAGATGGCAGAACGTCCATAATCTGTAAACCTTCACAATCCTCCACGGAGCACAGGCAGAAAAAACTAAATCTTTCTGCAAAGCGAGTTCATCAGCATGTTAACACAGCGTTATTAATGTGACTCCATTACATAGCATCAAATGTGTTTAATAAAAACGGCATCCCATAGTGTCACTATAATAACTGCTTTTTATAGCAGAAAACAAGTCTTATCTCCTTATTTCAGGGCCTCAATTATTGCTCAGCTAATTAAAACATTAAAGCAGTGTCGCTTAAATGACCTCATGAGGCGAGTTGGCACTGGAGCTGAGATAAACATGCAGCATTGTATGCGTTTACTTTCCCTGTCATTTGAATTCCTGTGCAAGTACACGCAAACACACCAAGAAAAATACTCTGTGCTGCACGAACAGGTCCGTATTGATCGCTCATTAATATTCATCAGCGTAGAGGCTGTAGTAAAGAGGTTCAACAGTGTGAAGAGAGCTTGGGAATGAAACAGGAAAGAAAGAAGGCTGGGCATGAACTATGAGAGGCTAGGAGGAGGAACACAATGAATGAGCTTCGAGGTAGGGGAGAAGGTCGGACTATTTTTTTAAGCAGAAATAAGAATTAGAAGAGAGGAAATCCAAGCGAGGAAACTAAAAGCTAGGAGGGAAATGGAGGTGTGGAGACCTTGAGACCTCGATCTTATTACTGCAGAATCTTAAATAAGGCAGGCAGAATGCCTGGAACAAGAACACTCCTCTGTACAGCAGCACATGAACACTCATCAGCAATCAATATGTACATAATTTGAGACGGATAGTTCAAAGATGACTTTACTATTTTCCATTGCAGGGCTAGCACTCAAAATGATTATCTTACTGATCACCAGTTTAGTTCAGTGATTGCTTTGTCTATAAAATGGAAGGAAATAGGCTAAATGTACTTGTGCAATGACAGACAAGAGGAAAGCTCCTGAATTTGAAAAGGTAAATCCATCATTTTCTTTAAAACACCAACAATTATTCAAAATTTCTGTCAGCTACTGTTCCGTCTATTGTTTCAACACCACTCCACTGAAAGACAAATGCAAAAGTAACCATCGGTAGAGAAGTTTCAATCAAGACACTTGACATTATTACAGAAACCATCCATTTTCTTAAATGACTATGCAACTTACTGTGACAGGGGGCTAGAGCTTTTCCCAGCTGTCATTAAGCAATTCAGAGTCATTTTACAATCATTAGCTGAACCAATATGTATGTTTCTGCACTGAGAAAAGCGGGGCACCTGAGGAAACTTACAAAGACACAATCCCACACAGAAAGGCCTCAGCTGACCTGCATGCTCGAGCCAGGAACCTTTTTTCCTGTGAGGCGAGAGCACTAATCTATGTCTCATTACTAACGAAGCCTTTTTTAAAAATATTCATGGTTAGCTTATAAATATGTTACCATACGCAAGCAGAGATATACAGACCTGAAAATTTAGCCAGACTGATACTGGGGTTTATAAAGCTCAATTACGATCTGATTCTTTTATTTTTATTGGACTCCACTGTATAGGTGGCTGCGGTTCAAAAGGCAGAGCAGGTCATCTGCTAATCGGAGGGTTGCGAGTTCAATCTCTGGCAAGAGGCTGAACCCAGAGTGTCTCCTGATGCATTCATCACAGGTCAAATGTGTGTGAACGTTAGACAGAAAGCACTTGGACATATAAAGAAGCACTTGAATGGGTGAATGACGCATGCTGTGCTTTGAGTGGTAGAAAAGCACAAAATAAGAACCACTAATTACCACTAACTGTGCAGTTCTGGGGCCGGGGTTCTGTTTTTTCTTTTTTTTAAAATAGCCCAACAGCTTCGCAGCATTTTGGATCATTTTCAGTGATGAAGTTAAAGATACACTAGTGCTGTCAATGTGATACCCACTAATGTGTGATCACATTTATGTGAATTAATTTAAGTAATTTTACTTTCAGATTATTATTAGACAAGCAATTGGTACATCAACAGCAGATCCAGAATATGTACTGTGTCCACCGAAAAACTGTTTAAACACCATCAAACAGTTTCACCCTATTAACAGCTTTAAATTCAGCTTTTCTTCGTTCAAAATAAATTTCTCCTCTGAATGCAACACTTGCACCTGCAAACCTTTTTACGTGTGCTCAGAATAGTGGCACAAAAATAATGCCATACCCTGAAGCGCATGCTCCGCGCTGTTTTCTCATAATGGCGGGGTATTCAGGAAACGGCAAGCCACGTCTCCCTGTCTGATCATTTCTTTCCTGTTTACAGGTTCGTATCGTGTCCGAAATAGAATATAATAGCAATCACATCCATTGTATAGCATTGATTAATCATTACGGTTGGAAAGTGAAAGCGTACAACATTGTGTAGTACAGTAAATTAGACTTTTGTAAGTATTTGTTTACGGCTTTAGCAGCATGCTATGGTTAGCATGTTAGTTTGGGTCGCACACCTCCTATGCTCTGTGATGTTAGTGATCGGCTCCACCGTTATTCTGTATTGTTTTAGTATCTTGTTATAAAGTGTTTCTGTGAATTCAATGCACATGTCAAGATGGTGCTGATTACACCATTCTTTCAAACTATTTGAGATTTATAGATTTGTCTTGTTGGAATTCATTTTCAACCAAGTCTTACAAGAAAATTTGTCATGTTTATGACATTGGAATGTGTTAATTCCTTTTAGTCTAGTTGGTAACAGAACATATATGGAGAATGTGTGAGCTATGTTAAGAATAAGTAAATACACAGTTGTAATACTGTAAAAGTAATCAAAGGAGTGCATAATTGTGAATTTGAATAAATACTGGCGGAGTATTCAGGAAACGGCAAACCACGTCTCCCTGTCTGATCATTTCTTTCCTGTTTACAGGACACATGTATAGCTACAGGTGCTGCCACCCGGTACCTGTAACACCAACATAGACCAAAAATAAAGTTTAATAATACAACTATTGAACCATTTAGTACAAATTTAATTTCCCGTGGTAAATATAAGACTAAAATTGCCATAGTTAAAGCAGTTTTCGATGTTTAGTTCCAGTAGCTTATTAAAAATATGTCGTGTTATTTAGTGCTGTGTTTAAGAGGGTAATCATGAATTAGGATGATATCAGCACAGACTGGTCAGGACAGGTGACAAACTTGATTGAACCTTTTTTTGATGTTATTTATGCTTCTTTTTATTTAGTTTTTTTTTTCTAATGAGTATCAAACATACCTGTCTGGGATGCCTAGTTGCACTTGCACACAAACATACATCTCGATAAAGGTTGAAATGTTAAAATCTCTAATGTTGTAGCACCTAAATATTGATAAATAAGTACTAACCTGTAAACCTTGATGATTATTTACACCTATAGATTGTAACCTTATAGTAAACAGGAAACACTCAACTGCATTTTTCATCTTTAGTGCTGAATTATGAGAGGGCTCACCATCGTTGAGGTCCTGCAGCAGGTTTTCCTGGCCGGAGAAGTCGAGCTTGACTTTGATGTTGACAGTCAGCGTCACAGACTGGCCCGGCTTTAGAGGCAGGTGAGACAATGCCTCATCTAACTCCCAGCTCAGAAATTCCCCAAACACTTTTTCTGCAAACACACAAAAGAAACATAAAGGATCGGTGAAACAAAGAAATATCGGAAAACAAATGCCAAGGAATTTCCCATAGGGATACAAGGTGGCAAGACGTGGATGCAAAAGTATTTGGTCAAAGTAAACAGAGACGCGCATGGAGCCATTTGAATGCAGCTTGCGCAAATGTGTGCTTACCAGAGCACTTGTTGGTGTGTGTGTTTTGTTCAAGACGATGGAAAGAAACAGCATCTGAGGGGCGTCTGATTTACCTGCCTCAGGCTGTGTTACTATCACATTTCTTCTGCAGTAAGCTTTCAAGAGCAACAAAGCCGCTGATGGATCTTTTACCCGCCAGTCTCTCGGTGCCCGTCACTATACCTGATGCTCTAATTTATGCCACAAACCCCTGCTACCTGCGAAAAATGGCTCAGCTGCATCCACTTCAGACAGAAGCGCCAAATGAATGATACATCACCTGAATAAAAGCATGCGTTCTGTCTGTGCAGGTGAGCCTCTCCTGCTCTGAGGTATTGGAGGAACAGCAAGCAGGCTGGGTTTAACACGCACTCACAGAATAAAGTGATATGCAAGCTCGCTGCAAGAACAACGGTTTACAGTTCCCTGCTTGATTCATAAGCAAAGCATGTAAAGACCCTCTAAGAGGATGTGAACAGAGGCAGCATTAAATAAAGATTTTGTGAATAACACTCCCCTTTAAATATTCATAAACTCAGAGCTTTTTGCAGTGAATTAAAGGAGGGGGGGGGGGGGGGGGGGGGGAAATGAGATGAAAGGGTGGAAGCTATTTATTTAAATATGCAACATCAGGCCTCACATTTCTACAGGTAAACAGCTATGATTGTGGATGATGTCATCACACTCTTTGATTACAAGTCACAAGAATAGCAGCAGAAATGACAGTACAGGCCACCAGTGCAAAGCAGAGCTAATTTTAAAAGCCATGTAATCAATAACACCACTGTGAAAGTTGTATTGTTCAGCTGTGTTGGGTTAAAGATGCGCTCCACATTAGAATTTTAAAGAGATTTACGAATATCATTTTCGATTTTAAAACAAACGTCAAGCTAATGCTCAATTTGCATAATTCTTCTGAAAAACCAATCTTTTCAAATTAAGATTACAAATCTCTAGCTTAATAAAATCAGTAGTCAGACACATTTCTCATGATCAAGTCTGTCTGTAGATTCAAGAGCTGTGTTTCTCTGAGCCACTGTTCTGGCTGATTCTGCTATGGAGCTCTCCTTTGTTGATGACCAGATCTTTTTTTAATGAACCATCACCAATACACTTAAAAAAAACCCCACAGGACAAAATGCAGTCCTGTTTAATCAGATTTGATCATCTGCGTTCACCCTTCTCTGTGTAAATGTACATTTTTAAGAGCTAAAGCAACAAGTGTTAAGAATTATAGTTGTTGCAGTGACTAACTTTGACTACAAGCTGATGGGAGGCAACCTGTCTTCAAACAATTGCGGCCCAACTCTGCCTGCAATCCCCCTCAGGCTGCCCAGAGGTTGTCATGTAATTGCTTTCCAATTTACACAACCCATTGCGGTCAGTCTGAGTCAGTCTACGCCGATGAGCCTGTGTCTCTTTACAACTCAACCAGTTGATAACTGGCTGTATTCTAGTCGTATTCAAATATGAAAGTGAGTCGAGGAATTTCACATCTGTGAGGTTCTGACTGGACACCGAATGTAAGTAGACAGCAACAGATTTTCAACTTTCTCCAATTCATCACAGTTAATCACCGTATCATCACAAACAGTCTGCATGAAATTGCTAACTTGACCTCATTCAACCACAAAGAGCAGATTAACTCCATCTTATTATGTTTATTTTAAATTCCAACTGAATGTGAAAGATCCTTGGCTTAAAAGCAACCATTGTGCAAGTCATTGACAGACCACCACAAACATTTTGGTCGTGCACTGGTCTCCAACCACTGTGCTTGCTAATGTGACTACAGCAGAAAGTAGGAAAATGACAGCTGTTATATGCTCTGTATAGTTTGACGCAGCTTCTGTTTTAAAAATAATAATAACAATAATAATAATTCTTGTGAAATTGCAAGCATTGTCTTGAGTGACTGTTAGCTGCACTGGCCCCATCAAAACCAGAACATGTGTTAGATGACCCTAGTACTCCGAACAGGGAGTCATCCTGAAGGAGTCAAATGACAAAGAAACGCAGAGGCAGCCGACAGTCTGCTCATGGTAACACAGTCACTGGAGCATTAATAATCCCGTTTACCTTTCGTGTTACGGGCTGTGCAGACAAAAGTATTTCATCCTCGTGAGACATGAATTTGTACAGAAGTGTTTCTGAAAGACGACTGAAGTGAGGTTTATATCTAAAACGCAGCAATGAAGTTACAGTGATGAACGAAAGGTCTGACACCAGTTTATTTTCTGCTATTAAGAAACGATTCAGTTTACGTCTATGCTTATTTAAATCGAATACAATAAATTGCTACCTTTGTTATCTATACATATATTTTTATTTCTGGGAAAATGGCGTGGTCTCATATTCCAAGATGGCTGTGTGCGCGCTGCGGCAGAAAGAGTAATGTTTTGTTTGTTTTGCCACAGATGTCTTCCTATTGTAACTGTGCTCATCTTTTATTCATTCAGCTCCCAAAGAGAATGGAGAGAGAGGCTCTCTCAGCTGTGGCCTGTCTAAAGCCACTACCAGTTTATGACAAAGGAGGCACAGGTGGGAACAAGTACCACGATGATCAGGAAAGACTAGTTTTGTCCACATGGTGCTACACTACCGCAGCCTCTGTCCCCAGACTGGATCAGACATGCAGCCCAGGCGTGATATCATAATGCTGAGTATATGTATGACTGAATAACGCCTAGGGAGAAAAATATAAAGTACCACAAGTTTATCAATGCATGAAACCTGACGACACTCAACTCCACAGGAGGCCAGACACAAAATATGCAATGAGAATTTGTGCACCTGACACATTCTCACTCAATCTTAGTGTGCAATGTTAAAGTAGTGATTTGTTTTCCATCTAAATGTAGCACAAAAAAGAATTAGCAAAGAAAACATGCAAATCAACACATTTTCCTCTGAACAGCTGGTGCCGTTAATTCTTCCAGGTGGGCCTCGTTAAGTTGCTGAAGAAGAACAAGCTCAAAGAAAATTATGTTAAGAGACACAACGTAACCTTAAATGAATGATAAAGATGGTGAAAACATGGCATTTACTTTCATGATTGTGATGAATGATGCTGTCTGTTCAATCCAGAAAAAAAACACATTGACTGCTTCCATCCGCCACCAAAACGACATGTTTTGGTTTTTATTGCTCCATTTTTACTCCAGCTCAATCCGAATTTACACCAACTTTAAGTCGAGCGGAAGAATGTTTTGTGAAATTTTTGCCAGCCAATTCTTTTTAAGATGTCTGCTTCAATTCATCTAAAACTAACACACAGCTTTAACGTGAGTGCTGTAAATCATTGATCATCTTTGAGGTTTTATACCCATTACTGCAAAAACTGTGTTTCAAATGAAAAGGAAAAAAACCCAGTTAACATCATTAGCAGCAGTTGGCAGTACTGATGCTTACTTGATGGTTGTTTTGTTTTCCAAATGGATTTGAAGAACATATTAACTAAAGATGTTCTTTTCTAATAAGAGTTAAATCACAATCCTTATATGAATGTATTTTATCATCAAAGTTAATGTGTCAGAAGCGTAAGGATTTGATCAAGTTTGAAAAAGCCCAAGTTGTGTTGCTAGAAGACTGGGTCACAGCAGCTCTCGTAGGGTGGTCTTGGTCTGCTGTGGTCACTAGGTGTTATAAGAAAGGACCAGTAATGAACCAGTGACAGAGTCGTAAGTGGCAAAGGCTCACTGATGCATGTGGGTATTGAAGGCTGGTCTGTATGGTCCGATCTAACAGATGAGCTACTGTAAGTGCTGAAAAAGTTGATCTCAGTTTTCCTGTTTTGGCAGCAAAAGCAGGAACAACACAATATTAGTGTTCGTAGTTTTATGCCTGATCGGTGTACAGACACCATGATGTTTTGCAGACATGTATAAAACTATACACTTATTGCTTGCGTATATTTCCATCTGTAGCTGTTTTCCTTACACAGACACACGGAGAGGGTACAATTATCAAAGTGGTCAGTTATTTAGAGTTACGTTTTCTCACAATCAAAATGTTTTGCTATGATCTGATATGAAAGGCACCTCTACCCAACCCTGACATGCACATTTTAAAGTAACCCAAACCCTTTTTATAAGGTGATTGCCCCTAACAGAGACAGCAGCAGTATGAAGAAATGATCTGTTTACAATACTTATCAAAAAGGGTCCCGGCACTCCAAGAGAATAAGGTAAAATAAAGATGTTTTTGATGCTTCAAGAGTAATTTCTGTTTATGACAAGTTTATGTTTAAAGTGAGCGCTTGAAGACATTCTCTGCCATTATGATATCCATTGTTCCTGCTTTAGTCTCCAGACCATGTTTAGGAATCACAGAGGAGATTTTCTGTTCCAGAGCCTAAGGTTTGTAAATCTGGGGGTAAACCCATTTGTTTTAATCGGCTGATGGGGGGGAAAACAAAACATTTTTTGGTTTGATCCTTAAAGACAAAGTATTTTTTGAAAACTGTTGCGTAACTCTACAGAAACTGTAGCTGAAGCTTTCAGAAAGCCTAGATAACAAAATATATAAAACAAAACAGTATTTTGGTATAAAAGAAGATGGGATAAGGCTGCAGTGTCAGTTATACACACTGCAAAAAGCATCATCTCGTCACTGCATTGCAGAAAAAAAGAAAGCGAATTTGGACTCTGCCCCTCTCTTCTTCATTGTCTGTCACCTGAGCGTCCTTGTTTCTTAGAATTACTCAATGATAATATGTACAGTAAATGAAACGTGCAAGTTTTTTGCTGAACTATCTGTACGTAAAGTCTTTCTCTGAGAAAGCAGCATGTGTTGCATCATCTCTTCTTTTTACAATCCA